GAAGGGTCCCAGGTTTGATCCCCATCAAGGGCTCATGCCTGGGTTGCGGGCTTGATCTCCAGTAGGGGGTGTACAGGAGGCAGCCAATCAGTGATTCTCATCATTGATGTTTCTGTCTCTCCCTCGCCTTCCTATCTGAAATCAATAAAAATTAAAAAACAAACAAACACAAAAACATAAAAAAGAGACAAAAGAAACAACAAATCTGAAATTTAAAAAAATGCCCTGACCGGTTTGGCTCAGTGGATAGAGCATCAGCCTGTGGACTGAAGGGTCCCGGGTTCGATTCCAGTCAAGGGCATGTACCTTGGTTGCGGGCACATCCCCAGTGGGGAGTGTGCAGGAGGCAGCTGATCGATGTTTCTCTCTCATCGATGTTTCTAACTCTCTATCCCTCTCCCTTCCTCTCTGTAAAAAATCAATAAAATATATTTTAAAAAAAAAAAGAAATTTAAAAAAATAAAGCAGCTACTGCATAAATGACACAGTAGGAGCTTAGAAGTGGTATTAGACTCCCATATAAAAATAATTCCTTCTCCACCATCTTCTCTTCTTGCCTCCTTTAAGAAAGTGTCACTGGATCACCTCACCAAATGTGTAGGGATATTCATATTCATCTCAATTTTTTAAATAATTGCTTTTTTCTCTAATTTTTTAAAAGGCGTTTGTGCTGTCAATGGTCTGTTATATGTAGTTGGAGGGGATGATGGCTCCTGTAACTTGGCATCGGTAGAATATTATAACCCAACAACTGATAAATGGACAGTTGTGTCATCTTGTATGAGCACAGGGAGAAGTTATGCAGGTAATAATTGTTTACTTTTCTTACAGTCTTCTATTACAATATAAAAAATTACACCATTATGATTTTTACATTAAGAATGTTATAAGAAGAAAGCCTTTTCTCAAAGTATATTTTATTTCTTGTTCTTAAAACAGTATTGGATGTGTATTTTCTGAAATAAAGCAGTGGTATTCTTTTATCATTCTACAATCGTTTGTATTTGAAATTACAAATCTTTCCATTGCGGGATCATATACTAAAACTTAACATGGCTAATATCTGTGTGCAGTGGAGTGGAATTCACTAGGTAGCAAGGCTTCCATTACTCAGCTACACAAGAAATTTGAGCCCTACAACATCCCCTTGGCAGGGCTTGTGTGATAGGATTCTAGAGAGGCTGTGAAATAACTTTTCTTACTTAGAATAGCACTGGTTAAATTTTAAAATATAATTTTGGTCCATGCTCGTAGTAAGAGAAATGGTAATTCTCTTTATTAAATATATTGAAGAGTCTTCAAAACTGTATGTTACATATTACTCTGATGATAGGAATTTATATCACTATAAATATTAGAATGTTTCTATAACCTTGACATATTGATCCAGTTGTGGTGAAAAAAGTTTATACTAATTTAACCATCACTACTGTTTATATATCATCCAAAACAACATCTAATAGAACTATATACAATAACATGACTGAAAATTAGGAAATTTTGTTAAAGTTTCATTGAGATATAACTGACATAGAATAAATAGCATAGATTTAAGCATACAATTTTATTAGTTTTGACATATGTATATACCCATGAAACCAATACCACAGTCAAAATAATGAAAATAAGTATTAATCACCCCTGAAAGTTTCTTTGTGCCCCTTTGGGTGTGTTTAGGTGGATTTTAGTGTTTTCTGAGTAAAATTATTTTTCCTTAATTGTAACTGCAAAGAGCAAAAGAGTAATCTGGATTAAATAGTCTGACATTTTGGTCTGTAACTAAACAGATCTCACTGCAATTTAAATTAAAATGATAGTACTTTTGATACACTATGATTTGTTCAGACCCTGTTTGCTTGAGTAATAAAATAAAGAATTCAGTATTTTCTCAGATATACAGAATGCTGCCTGTAACTTCCGTTTTGTTCTTCATTTCTTTGCTTAGGGGTCACAGTTATTGATAAACCGTTATGAGCCCGAAGGACATTTTTGGCATATTTATACATGAGAAACAGACTTCAACAAGTATTTCTGAAGTGACATGAGAATCCAGCACTTCTCCACTTGTAGCTGCACTTTAAGTCTCCGCAGAAAATAAGATCGGCTGCCTTTAGAGGCCTCAGATTCTGAAGATTATTTTTGGTAGAAGCACCGTGTAGGCATTTTCTGCAATGAGCAGCAGCTGACTGAATTTTAATAAAAAACCTGGACTGCAGTACTTACTCTTCAGTCTTTAGACAACAGTTGCTTTCATAAAGACTAGTTATCAACCTTGAACGACTGGATTATTTTGTGAAGGAAGACAAAAGAATATGTGTTGTAAAATTAATTTTTTCTTTATTCCTTCTGGAAATCTGTATACACAGGAACTGAAAATCTTTGAACAGGTATTAAGTTCTATGTAAGTATACAAACTAGTTGAGGGATAAAACTGTTTGCTTTTATAAAATATCTTTGATTACATGAGTATAATAAATGGTGTGCATAAAACTGTGTGTGTATATGCTTTCCTTTAAATATGTTTGAAAAGATGTTTGAAACTTGATTATACTATTTATAATTGGCACAGTACTTTGAATTATGCCAGTACTACATTGTAAAACAGAGTTGTATTTTTTGATATTTAACAATGCTTAATACTTTAAAATGCCACTTCTGAGGAATGAACATGGTGTAACACACTTGAATATGTGTGATGCCAAACTTTTTAAAAATAAAATGTAAAGTATGCTTATTTATTATTTCCTTCCTTTGGTTTAATTTTGGTCATGTTTTGGTGTGTATTTTTAATTTTTTTCTTAAAGTAACACTTTGGCATGATCATTACTGCAGGTCTTTGATGAATATAATGAATGTATGGAATTCAACTGAATTTGCATGGTCTTAAGAATTTTTTCCGTGTGTATAAATTTAGCTGCTATTAACAGAAGAGAGAACTTTCTGCGAGTAGCCATGTGTGTTGATCAGATACAATTTTTCTGAGGTCTTCAATTAATCTCACTTTAAAAATGACCAAAACATGTCTTTCTGGAATTACCTTTGAATAAAAGTTTGTATGTTATTTGTTTTACATTGTCCTTGATTTTTATCGATTTAGTTTGATTTTAAGGAAGTTGCCTGCTCAGCTTCTCTGTTCTTTTGTAAAATTTGCGTTTTCTAACTTCACAAATCAATACTTTTTGTTTGTTGCCAAAGTAACCTCTTAGGCAAGTCTCTTAAATCAGTAACTGAAGTCACTGGAAATTGTTCTCCAAGAAAAAGTTACCTCAACTATTCAAGGAGAAGTCTCCCAAGGACTGATGATATTTTAAGTTTTTATGTTCCTCTGTCCCTCAAAGGGCAGGACACAAGATAAAGATAACACAAATAGCATTGGACCAAAAAATCAAAGAAAAAATACCTACTCTAAAGAAACATTTTGATATAAAATAAAAGGAACTAAGGAAATGGGAGTTGGGGAGTGGGGTGGACAGGTGAGGTGCTGGACACAAGAGGGGCAGAGAAGGAAGGGAGAAGGACAGGAGGTGATGGGATATGGTGGCTATTCCTCAGGAGAGGAATTTAAAAGGTTAGCATGAGCTTGTTGCCAGAACAGTCGGGAGGAAAGAATTGTAACTGTGATATGATACCTATTTAATATAGAGTATTCACATTTAAACATAGAACCATATTTATTTTTTTATTCATTTTATATAACAACAAAAATTGTATTTCTCACAATTCTGGAAGCTGAGAATTTCAAGATCGAGGCACCAGCAGATTCAGTGTCTAGTGAGAACCCACTTCCTGGTTCACAGACTGTCTTTTTGCTGTGTCTTCACGTGGCTAAGGGATCTCTCTGGTCAGTTTCATAAGAGCACTAATCCCATTCATAAGGACTCTTAGTCCCTCCTGACCTAACAGCTCCAAAGGCTCCAGTTCCTCATACCATTACTTTGGGGATTATGTCTCCCTCAAATTCTCATGTTGAGTTCGGGGGCAACATAAACATACTGTCCATTGTAGAGATGTTTAGAACATAGTCTGACCCCCAAAGGGATTTAATACAACTGCTTCCAAAGCTCCCCTCATCTTTAACCACATCTAAACAGTCTGATCCAGATCCTGGTACAAAAAATGAGAAAGCAAAAACCCTGCCTTCTGCTAATGACCTGAGACCACAACGAGTAACAACCTGTTGATCAATTGCTGCAGAAAGTATGCCAAGACCCAAATCTTCATTTTTCACATACAAATTTCAGCAGCACTTAGAAAATACTGGCCTGGCCAGTTTGCCAAGTGGTTAGAGTGCTGGCCTGGGGCCCAAAGGGTTGTGATTCGATTCCTGGTTAAGGGCACATACCTTGGTTGTGGGTTCAATCCCCAGCCCTGGTTGGAGTGCTTTGGCAGGCAACCAATCCATGGGTGTGTGTCTCTACCCCACACCCTACCCAACCCCCGCACCAGCCCCCTTCCACTCTATCTGAAAATCAATGGGAAAAATGCCCTGGGGTGAGGATTTAAAAAAAACAAATTCAATAGGTCATTTAATGTAATTATCTGAGAATATATATATTTGCTTTTAAAACAGGTTTATTTTCTCCTTATAAAACTAATAGATAGCATGGAGCACCCAAGTGTTTATCATCTAAATTGATGATCAGTTATGAGGCTTATTTTTTTAGGTAAAAGGATAGCATAATCTTACAGAGTGATATGCTATAAGCCTGCCTCCCCGGGACAGTGCCCGCACCTGCTAAAGTTCTGGAGGAATCCCAAGTTGCCATGGCGACGACTCCTCGGCCGCACGAAGCCGTGTCAGTGCCCGTCCCCTCTTGACGCTCCATCCTCTGCCCCGCCCCCGGGCGCGCTGCGGCGCCAATCACTGGCTGGGCGTGTGGGTCTCACTATCCTCACTCCATCCGGGGAGCCAATGGCTGGGGCCGGCAGTCATTCGTTTGCGCGAGTCGCACGATGCCGGCCACCATACAGACCAGTCACAGCACCGAGAAGGCGGGACGGGCGCCCTCACAAGCCAATAACAACAGAGAGAGCCGCTGCACACTCCCTCATCCGGGAGAGGCGGGTTCCTGCCTGGGCCCCGGCACCAGGTTGAATACGGTGAGCGGCCGTCTCCGGGCGAGCATCCTGGTGAGGGCACCGGAAGAGAAGATCGTAGGTGAGGAAGGGGGAATGTCGGGGATCCGGCCCTGAACTCTGCGGGATTGAGGGGAGCGAGGTCGGGCGTGGATGCGCGCTCAGGGCCGGGTGGGGGCACCCCTTACCCAATGTGAGGGCGGCGAGGAGCCGGAGGGGAAAATGGTGATGCACCCGGGCTGAGGCTTGTTTCTTGCCCTTTAAGAGTTTGCGGTCACTGGAGGCATTAGGCTACCAGTGGTTCTCAACCTTCTGGCCCTTTAAATACAGTTCCTCATGTTGTGACCCAACCATAAAATTATTTTCGTTGCTACTTCATAACTGTAATGTTGCTACTGTGATGAATCGTTAATGTAAATATCTGATATGCAGGCTGGTCTTAGGCGACCCCTGCGAAAGGGTCCTGCGACCCACAGGTTGAGAGCCGCTGCTAGACGATAGTTACAGCACAGGATGAGAGTTTTACAAAACAGAAGCATTGCAGGGGAGACCAGATCTGGTGTGTACGTGCGTTGGGGGGCATGGGGTGCGGAAGGGCGGCTAAGAGGAGGTTATGATGGGTGGGTGGGAGTGGGATAGGAGGCCATCCCGGGTAAAGGGTTGCCGTTTCCGTGGGCAGAGAGAGAGAGAAAGCCACAGGAATGGTGAGAAGTCAGATGTGGTGGTTTGACGTGTAGGTTGGAGAGGAGGAACAATGAAGGGTGGACAGGCTTGGCGGGGCGTTTTTTCTTTTCCATAGCTCAGCGGTTCTCAACCTGTGGGTCGCGACCCCTTTGGGGGTCGAACGACCCTTTCACAGGGGTCGCCTAAGACCATCGGAAAACACATATATAATTACATATGGTCTTTGTGATTAATCACTGTGCTTTAATGATGTTCAATTTGTAACAATGAAATTGGGGGTCACCACAACATGAGGAACCGTATTGAAAGGGTCGCGGCATTAGGAAGGTTGAGAACCACTGCCATTGCTGAAGGCCTTGGTCTCATATTCCTAGGGGAAGCACTTTTCTTAAACTTTACGTGTTGTGAAAGGGGTGGACGCTCCTGTTTTGATAGATCCTGGCATGAGCCTCAGAAGTCGGGTTTAAAAGGGCAAGCCGGAGGCATGGCAAGGCCAGGTGAGGGCCCTGGAGCAATCCGGGTTTACCTAGGAAGGTACAGGGTACGGCATTAGCTGGCGGTAGTCAGGGACAGCCAAACGTCAAGGCTTCCCAAAGGATCCGCGAGGAACTACATTTCTTTTTTTTCTGAGGACCTAGTCAGGCTGCTCAGAGCAGGTTTCCAGTCCATCCGGTTGTCCAAAGAGGAGAAAAAGCAGAAGAAAGTTCACGGTTTCCCTTCCCCTCTCCCCTTTATTTCCTTTCTGTATTTTGCTTTTGTTCAGTTGACAGCAACTGGCCCCATTTTCCTCGCTTGTGTATGGAGAGTCAACTCCCAAATGTGAGTTAAACCAGGTGTGTCTATACTGGGTGAGTGTTTGAGGACCTTACCTAGTTAGCAGCGATAGGGGAGACTCAGAACATTGTCAGAGATGACTGAACAGGTGAAGGTGCAAGTCACAAAATTAGGTGTTCATGGAGGTGGATCGGGAGTATTTGGGCAGGGTTCCGAGGCCAGCTGCTGAACTTTTGGATCTGTTGAGTTTTATGCGCCTCTGCGCTGTCTAATTGGAGCTGGCCTGGGTAGTTAGAACCTGGGGTTTAGGGGAAAAGGCTGGAAATAGAGATTTTGGATATTAGGAGATTTTTACAACAGGAAATAGTTAAGAACACCAGGAAAGGGAGTAAGGAAAGCATCCTTGGAAACTTTCCAGCCTCAGTGGTCCAGTCTTCCTTCCTCAAAAGCTGTCCCACAAACTAACTAAATCAGAAAGGGCTGTACTCTTTCTCTCGTCCTGGTTTAGTCTTTGGGTGGGAAGTTCCCTCCCAAGGGTTCTCAACCTTCCTAACGCCGCGACCCTTTAATACAGCTCCTCGTGTTGTGGTGACCCCCAACCATAAAATTATTTTCGTTGCTACTTCATAACTGTAATTTTGCTACTGTTATGTAATGTAAATATCTGATATGCAGGACGTATTTTCAGGGATCGCCACCCACAGGTTGAGAACCACTGCAACATCCTCTTATTCCCCCCACCTCACCCAGCATGACTCTCTTTGTATCTGGTCTCCTCCCATCGTGCTCCAGGTCCAGTTTAGAAAGTATCGTTCTCTAGGAACCCTTGCTGGTCCTCCGTGTTCTCCTAGCACTCAGTGTTTCCAGCCCTTTATTGCTCTTATCACATGCTTTTATGGCAGGCTGGTGAATTCTCTGATTTCCTCACTAGATTTTATGTTTGTGAAGTCAGAGGTGAGAGCAGACGCTAGCACAGTGGCTGCAGCTGGTAGCACAAATTCAGTGGGCGTGAATACATGGGGATTCCAAGAACCAAGAAAGGAACGTATTTCAGGGAGAGAGATCTCAAACCTTCCAGACTGGTTGAATAAAATAAGCTCGAAGGGATGTTTGTTGGATGTGGCAGCTAGAAGATCCTTAGTGATTTTAGTAAGAGTAGATTGAGTGTAGCGATGAGACTAGAAAGCTGACTGTAGTTGCTGGAGAGTACATGGGAATGGGAAAAGGAAGATAGCCCGTGTAGAATACTCTTTCAGGAGACTTGGGTAAACTGTAGGAATTATTCTCCTCTTACTGTAATATTTGTCTGGTGCGTTACTATGTCTGGTTAAAGTATAGCTTACTGGATGTGCTGGGGTCCAACCCCAGCAGGTCCAGGGGTCCCCAAAGGTGTGGACGGAGTCAGCGAAGAAGGAAGGACATGGAGACAGCATTCAGTTGATCAGCAGCCCAGTCAGTTTCTCTAGCCAGGATCTGGTCTGGATCTCCAGAGAGGTTCTGCTTAGGATCTCCAGCCAGGTTCTGTGTCCATGTTCTCTTGCTAGGTTCTCCAGCCAGGTTCTGCCCAGGTTCTCCAGCCAGGTTCAGTCACCAGGTTCTAGTCAGGTTCTCTTGCCAATTTCTGTAGTCAGGTTCAGCCCAGGATCTTTTGCCATGTTCTCTCCAGCGAAGTTCTTCTGTCTCTAGGCTCTGTGTAGGTTCTGTCTTCTAAGTTCTGTCTTCCAAGTTCTGTGTTCTAAGTTCTGTCTTCTCTTGGTTCTGTCTTCTAAGTTCTGACTCGTTACATCTGTATTTATACCAGTTGATTCAATCCTATCAATCTCTATTACAAAGGTTAGGGCGTTTCTTATCTCCATTCCAGGGAGTAAAGATTATGTAGCTTAAGCACGATTGTTCGTAGTTAAAGTGATTGATTACCCGCCTGGCACTTAGTTAAGAGGTTTTATTCCCTCCCTAACTTCAGGGGAAAATCCCTACCTGGGGAAACAACCTTTCTCAGAGACCTTGGTTAAAACACATAGTGCCAAGAAGGTGAGCAAACATATTATTAAGAACAGTATGCCATATATGCCAGGTCCCTTGAAACAGCAAGCATGGACTGGCTCCCGGCATGGGTGAAAGCATAAGCTTCTCCACTTAGCGTTTTTGTAACTTGGGGAAGTTGCATGATCTTTCTCAACCTGGAGTTTATCATTTAGAAGATGGAAATAATAAAAGTACCTAGTTCATGAAAGCGTGGTAAGGATTAAAGTCTTGGATATATAGAGGACATGTATCGCACTGAGAGTGCAGTTCCCGGCACATAGAAAATGCCCGATAACTGGTAGCTTCTTAGCATCACTGTGTGTCAGGTCCTGTGCTAAGTGCTTCACATGCATTCTTCCTTGAACCATTGGAAGAACTGTTGTTATTCTTTTCCCCTTTTTCAGCTTTCTTGAGGTGTAACTGACAGATAAAATGATAAGATATTTTAAGTGTACATTGTGGTGATTTGACATTGGGAAAAGATTCCCTCTATCTAGGTCCTATTGTTGTCTATATTTTGCAGATGATAAAACAGGCTCAGAGAAATTACATGACCTCATGAAAACCGAGGGTTGGAATTTTATTTTGCAATATAGAAGATCTTTGAAGATAATCTTGATATGAATTGGGAGCTAGATTGCAAGTAGTTGAGCAAGTTGTGTGGGTGAGAGTTAAGCAGTCAGAGGCTTATGAATTCTTCTTTAAGAAAGAAGTTGAGCCCTTGCCGGTTTGGCTCTATCGCTCAGTGGATGGAGTGTCGGCCTGAGGACTGAAAGGTCCCAGGTTCGATTCCGGTCAAGGGCATGTACCTTGGTTGCGGGCACATCCCCAGTAGGAGGTGTGCAGAAGGCAGCTGATCGATGTTTCTCTCTCATCGATGTTTCTAACTCTCTATCCTTCTCCCTTCCTCTTTGTAAAAAATCAATAAAATATATTAAAAAAAGAAAAAGAAGTTGATTGGTTGGTTCCAAGAAAGAGAAATGGGACATTGGCTTGGGGGAAAGGAGGTAGAGGTTAGAAAAGTTTTCCTCAAGAAAGGAAGACTTGAATATGTTTTTAAACTTGAAGGCGGATAGACTCCGTGAAGAGGGAAAGACAAAAGATGAGAAAGGTAAAGTGAGTGCTGGGCAAGTTCTTGATGAGGTCAGTTAACACAAGCCTTGTCATTCTTAGAGGAGAGGGTGAGTGAACCAAGAGAAATTTTGAGCTTGGCATGGCACAGGGTGTAACAAGATAGTCTCCATGGTATAAGTCATTTGAGAATTAGTCAGACAAAAGAATAAGGATGCAAAGTGAAGTCAGACCTGAGGAAGTTGGCTAAGCTTCCCAGTATCCTCTATGAGGAGTAGGGTAAGAGGTAAATTGGGGTAGGGGAGCATTGTAAAAAATAATAAGAGTGCTTCTGAGGTTTCAGATATTTATTGGTCCATCCATCATTATTCATAAATCAGGAATAGCAGTGAGCATTTTTAAAAGAGTGATACTCTTCATAAGTTTCCCTATTTTTTTATTTGGTAACCTATTAAGCTTATTTATTTTATAAGTAAACATGCTCCTGGAAAAAATTGTAAGAAGGTATAAAATAAGTAAAATTTCCTTCTTCTCCATAACAACCTCTCATTGTGTGTGCATAATAGGGGTGCACACACACACCCCTAATACCTCTTTTTTTTTTAAATTAAATCTTTATTGTTTAGATTATTACAGTTGTTCCTCTTCCCCCACTCCCATAGCTCCCCTCCAACCAGAACCCACCCCACCCTCTGCCTTTACCCCCCTCCCCCACTGTCCTCATCCATAGGTGTACGATTTTTGTCCAGTCTCTTCCCGCACCCCCCCACCCCCCTCCCCCACAGAATAGTCCATTCCCTTTCTATGCCCCTGATTCTATTACATTCACCAGTTTATTCTGTTCATCAGATTATTTATTCACTTGATTTATAGATTCACTTGTTGATAGGTGTGTATTTGTTGTTCATAATTTATATCTTTACCTTTTTCTACTTCTTCCTCTTCTTAAAGGATACCTTTCAGCATTTCATATAATACTGGTTTGGTAGTGATGAACTCCTTTAGCTTTTTCTTATCTGTGAAGCTCTTTATCTGACCTTCAATTCTGAATGATAGAATTGATTACTGGGTAAATGATAGAAATGATTACTGGGTAAAGTAATCTTGGTTGTAGGTTCTTGCTATTCATCACTTTGAATATTTCTTGCCACTCCCTTCTGGCCTGCATAGTTTGTGCACCCCTTTGTGAGCTTTGTGCACAGTCTTGTTGTAGTTAAGCCTTGATTGTTGTAGGTATAACTGGGAGGAATTGACCTCCAGGCCTATTGGCTGTGAGAATCAGCTGTGTCTACAGTGGGAGAACTTCTGTGCTGGAGACACCCTTATGGGGCAAGACTTGCTTCAGTGGGGCTTTGGTGCTCACTGAGTGTGTCTCTTATGGATCTGAGGAGTTGTAGTCTGGATGGTCCCACTCTGACCACTGGGTACACTGGCTCTTGGATCTCTAAGGAGGTGCTAATTTAGCCTCTGCTTGAGGCTACCCAGCAGGAGCTATGGAGAGATCTGCAGATTCCTCTTCTTTGTTTGGGGTTTGGAGGTGCCCAGATGAGGCCCAGCTGTGAAGCAATGCAAGCTGCTGTGGGGCCTTGGGCCTTGTTTTGGATGTTCTGGGTCTATCTGACCCAGCTGCAGTTTGTTAGGTAATTTTAGATTGCAAAGGGCCAGGCCTTTCATATGCAAAAGCCACTGGGCACAGCTTGGGTGGGGTGGGGTCTCGGAATCAACAGGGTGGAGCAAACAGCTATGGCTGCTCCTCAGTCCTACCCTAAGAGGCCCCGTGTCTCAGTGTCCCAGTAATCGCTGCAAGCACCTCTGAGAGAAAGCCACCCTCGAGTTCCGACCGATGCCAGACAGTCCAGTTTCTCCCCGTATGAGTCTGGGTCCCCAGAGACTTGCCCGGAACTGGATTTCGGAGCAGCTTAAGACTCCCTCCCGATTGAAAAAGACAATCGTGCCCTCAGTTGCCAGCCCTTTCCAAGTGCACCTCCTCTGAGTCTCAGTGTGCTTTTCTCTTTCCTTCTAGTTGTAGAATTTCCACTCAGCCAGCCTTCCTGTGGTTCTGGATGATGTCCATTTTGTCTTTTAGTTGTATTTTTGAAGTGGTTGTGCAAGACAGCAATTCCCGGTGTTTACCTATGCTGCCATCTTGGTTTCTCTCGGAAAGAGTAGCTCCCCTAATACCTCTTGATCCCCTTTCCTAAAGATCTCTACTCTGAATTGTTCCCTGTGTATCCTTCCATTCATTTTCTATATTTGTGTGTGTGTGTGTGTGTGTGTCTTTGTATGTACATATATATGCATGGAAGTACATAGATAAAATGCATATATTTTTTACAAAAACATAAGTGGGGCTCTTGTCATACATATTGTGCAACTTGCTATTTCACTTAATACTTAATCTTTTTAAAAAAATAGTTTTTATTGATTTTAGGGAGAGAGAGAAACATCGACTGGCTGCCTCCCACATATACACCCATACCAGGGATGGAGCCCGCAACTTGGGCATGTGCCCTGACTGGGAATCGAACCAGTGGTCTTTTGGTGCATGGGATGATGCCCAACCAACTGAGCCACTTGGCCAAGGCTTAACAGTGACTCTTAGATATCTTTCTAGGTAGAACATATAGATCTTTCTTTTAAGTGGCTATTTTGTTACTTTTCTCTTTGTTTTTGCTATTATAATCAGCACTTCCTTCAGCCTTTGTGTATCAGTCTTTGTACACTTGAGTGAGAAACTTGCTGGGTCAAAGGGTGTACTTATTTTGAATTGTGTTAGATACTGTGATTCCCCCCCCCCCCCCCCAAAGATGTACTTAATTCTGCTCCTCCTCCCCCCTTCCCACTTCATCACCAATGTGTAATGGTGCCTGTTTCTTCAAATTATTGTCCTTAACAATACTGGGTACTGAGCCCTATGTAATGTAAAGATTTTTGTTTTAGGGTATATTTCCTTATTTGAGTCCAATTGAACTGCTTGTTTGTTTAGTGAGCATTTGCATTTACTCTTCTGTGAACCCAGTGTTAATGGCCTTTGACTTTTTCTTACAGCCCTTTGTCATAAGTGGTAGAGATATTTTTCGAATTTGTCATTTGATCTTTGACTTTATAACTAGACGCCCAATGCACGAAATTTGTGCAAGAGTAGCAAGAGTAGGCCTTCCTTCCCCCGACTGCCAGCACGGGCTTCCCTCTGGCACCTGGGACCCAGGCTTCCCTCGCAGCCCTAGCTTCATCTCTGACTTCATCCGGAAGGTCATCCGGTCTGATTAGCATATTATACTTTTGTTACTTTAGATTATCTCTTTCTTCCCCAATTAGAAGTATATAATTTTTGTGTAGTCATATTTGGCAGGCTTTTTCTTTATAGGTTCTTTTTGGTTTTTTTTTTGTTTTTTTTAAATATACATTTTTTTATTGATTTTTTTACAGAGAGGAAGGGAGAGGGATAGAGAGTTAGACACATCGATGAGAGAGAAACATCGGTCAGCTGCCTCTTGCACACCCCCCATTGGGGATGTTGCCTGCAACCAAGGTACATGCCCCTGACTGGAATCGAACCTGGGACCTTTCAGTTCGCAGGCTGACGCTCCATCCACTGAGCCAAACCAGTCAGGGCGGTTCTTTTGTTTTAACTACATGTTTAGGACCTGAGAAATTGGTGCTAGTAGTGGTTATTTTAAAAATTATTTGAAGATGCATTTTTAAAACTACTTTCTTAGAATTGTTTGACTTGCATTCTTGCTTATTTATTTATGTACTTATTTATATTTACAGAATTAAAAGGCTGTGTGCAGAGATTTGAAAAATGGCAACAAATGAAAGTGTCAGCATCTTTAGTTCAGCATCCTTGGCTGTGGAGTATGTAGATTCACTTTTACCCGAGAATCCTCTGCAAGAACCATTTAAGAATGCTTGGAACTATATGTTGGACAATTACACAAAGTTCCAGATAGCAACATGGGGATCCCTGATAGTTCACGAGACCCTTTATTTCTTGTTCTGTTTACCTGGGTTTTTGTTTCAATTTATACCTTACATGAAAAAGTACAAAATTCAGAAGGTGAGTATGATGGACTTGCAATGGAATATTATCATTAGTGTTGAATATTTTTAAAGTAATTATAACTTTGTTTTGAGAAACTCTAGATCAGGCCTGTCAATAGAAATATAATTAAGCCCCATAAGAAATTTAAATTTTTCTGTTATAATACATGAAAAGGTAAAAAGATATAGGAAAATTAATTTTAAGATATATTTTACTTAACACAGTAAATCTAAACTTTTATTATTTCAACAAGTAATCAGAATTAAAAAGTACTTAATGAGTTGATAGCTCCCAGGAAAGAATCTGGACCAGCTTATTAGAGAGAGGATTTATCAGTACTTGGTGAACCCATGATAGTTTCTAATGCTTACTGTTTACTTTTCTAAAAAGTCATGCCAGGCTCTGGCCAGTTAGTTCAGTTGGGTTAGAGCATCGTCACGATACTCCAAGGGGGTTTGATCTCAGGTCAGAGCACATACAGGAAGCAACATGAGTGCATAAATAAGGGGAACAACCAGTCAATGTTTCTCTCAAAAGAGAAAAAAATCATGCCACACTATTCTTAAGGGCACACATAGCCTTGGTAGAAAGTAGATATGTTGAGAGTGTTTGTTTATCTGTGGAGACTAGTTTGCACTCACTGAGTCTATGTGGGTTGGCGTTACTGCACACATTCTCTCACACTCTCAGTTTCATTGCCTTTCCCAGGGAGTCTCACTTTAAGCCAGCGCTGGTATTGATCTTCTTTGGGGATAAGTACAAGGAGTCAGGTGCCCATGGACTCCAAGCCAAAGGAGAGAACAAAAGTAAAAAGGGGAGGGAATAAAAAGGAATGTGGCCCACGGGAGAGTATCCTGTTTCCCTCAATTGAGGACACAGAAGTTCCAAAATGCTTGTTATAAAATGTCCTGCCTTGAAAGGGAGGATTCAGTTTGAATGTCTTAAGTTCATTCTTCTGGGTGTTAGGGGTGACTCAGGCTGCCCTGTATCACCCATTGCTTTGTTCATACGGCTGATTCATTATATCCCTGTATAGTTGAGTCATTGGTCAGAGGTGTAAACCTTCTCAAAGAGAGGAAAACCTTTTCCAGTCATTGTTTTATGATTGGTTTGATGGCCAAAGAAAGGACAAGCAATCATCTACAGTAGTTGGTTACTGGTATTTATGAACAGAGATTAAAAGGCTGGGTAGTGTGGCCTCAAGTCTGTCCTCAGTATTTCTTCCTTTAACTTTTACAACCAAAAAGCTTTGAGCTTTTTTGATACTAAAATAAATTGAGATGGTAAATTAGTATAGGTTCTCACAATATGCCAGGATTTAAAAACAAGTTAAAAAAAAAAATCACTGCAAGTTACTTACAGGTTTATGAATTTTGAAGGCAGATACCCTGAAACATTGAGGGTACAGGAAGAAGTTGCTATTGGTGATGAGACAGCATTAAAGACTTTCTGCTTTCAAAGAGAATAGACGGTGTGACAGTTAATGCACATGTGTGCTAATGAGGGGGAAATTTTATAGGAATAAACAAGCAATAAAGTAAACCTTGTAGGATCTATTTCTTTTTACAAAGTCACACATTTTAATAATTCTCTAGGAATTTTCCTCACGGATATATATAAAACATTCTTTCTGAAGTCCATGGCCTAATAATGATATTTTTCACATGAGAGTGCAGTTATATATAAAGTACTATATGGTAAACTCTGATATTCCCCTAGGTGTGAGTTTTTGATTATCTTTTAAAGAAATTTGTGTGTACTTTAAACAGTATAATGAATGATTTTATTAGTTATAGTTGATTAATTTTTGTGTTAATTTCTGTACTACATAGGTATCAGATTCTAGTTAGGATATTAAGTCTGTTAAACATAGTTTCTATGGGAAATAGTGCCATTGCAGGCCCAAGTCGGAATTTCCCATTTATTTTGTCCCCAATCACAGACTGAAAGTTTGAAGGTGTAGGGTGATAATGTTCAGAATAGAAATAGAAAGACAATTATAAATGATCTTATCTAATTTCCTCATTTTATTGTTGATAAAACTGACTTATAACTTGTTAGTGGTGGCCCTGAGATTAGAGACCACCCAGCTCTCTGGATTTCTCGATTGCGTCTCAGTTTCATGCTTTTCCTTTTTTTTTTTTTTCTTCTTTTTTGGTCAAGGAAGGTAACTCTTAAAGAGTTTCAAAAACAGAACTGGAGGCCTAGATTTTAGTTAGTCCCAGTTCCTATATCATTCTGGGCAAGGTAGTGGACCTCTTTGGGCTTCTGCTGAACAATATTTCCCATACTTGAGATGTTGTGGTTCAGTTGAAAAAAATTTCATCAGCAGCTTTCTGAATTTTTAAGTAAGGACATTTAAAACAAAGTAATAACTATTAGCATAATCTTTATAAAACCCCAAACAATTTTCCTTTGTAAGTGTAGCCCATTGAATTGAATCAATTTAGTTTTTTAAAATATTGCTTGTTAGGTGAGTAGGTGTCCTGATGAGATTTAAATGAACATTTTAGTACATTGATCTCACTCATTTTGACTTTAATCTTGGAACTTCTGTGGGCAGTTGCTCTCCATTCTTTGGAAACGACTGGACACATCTCTGAAGTTCTTCCAGCTCAGAGAGTTTATAATTCTGTTATTGTATATAAACAAAAATGCACTAATTTCTGGGAATGAATACTGCCAAATGTCTGGAAGCATTGATTTACCTGTGTAATAATGGCTTTCAATGCTGCTGATACAATTGCTTCAATACTTGGAAGACCCAACTGTAATCTTTGCATAACACATTTCTTCTCTGTCATTTCTGATACAAGAAGTGAATGATCTGTGGGCAGGAAAGACTGGAGAGTTATTCATTCTATAGTGCTTCTTCTTAGGTTTGAGATCTTATGTTCGTTATTCATGAGTTTGTTTATTCACAATTTCTTCACCTAAATTGGTGATGGTAGTTGCCAAGAATTTAGAGGGGAGGATGTTGTGATTCCTGGGCTTTAGTTACTGTAACATAGTAACTGTAATATAGAATTCACAAAACAGAATTAAGGTCTCATTAACCAGTAGAGATAAAAATAGGAATTTACTTCTGGATACCAGGCTAACCTGCTGATAACAGACTAACACTCAATATTTGTGCCTTTTCTCTGTAGGATAAACCAGAAACATGGGAAAACCAATGGAAATGCTTTAAAGTACTTCTCTTTAATCACTTTTGTATCCAGCTCCCTTTGATTTGTGGAACTTACTATTTTACAGAGTATTTCAACATTCCTTATGGGTGGGAAAGAATGCCAAGATGGTATGTAGATACAAACAATACTTTAATATATGTAAAGATTTGATTTGTTTGCTCAGTCACAGTTTGCTGTCCAATTAAAATATCCTTAACGTTTATCTTTTTTCTTTATTTGTTTAATGTTTGTTTGTTCTAAACTTTGGAAGTAAATAAAATGGAGAAAAGTAAATCATAGTAGAAACTTAGAATGTTACCATTTTTAGGTCTTTCTCTACTAGTATTTTAGTGCAATACTTTATTTGAAGGTGCTTGTACTAAGAAAAAAAATTACATTTTAAGTCTAAAGGGAATGAAAACGTTGAGAATAGTTTGAGAGGTTTATAAAAAAAAAATGTGTCGCCCGGCCGGTGTGGCTCAGTGGTTGAGCATCGACCCATGAACCAGGAGGTCACGGTTCAATTCTCGGTCAGGGCACATGCCCAGGTTGTGGGCTTGATCCCCAGTGCAGGAGGCAGCTGATTTTGATTCTCTGGGTATGAATTTTGTTTCTTAATTGATTTTATACCTGTGATTTTTTTTTTTTTTTTTTGAATGAGTTAGAATTGATATAGTGGCCAGTCTGTTCTGTTCAGCTCTTCTTCTGGGTGGTGTAATATAGCTACCTTGTGTCTAAACACTTTTGAGAATTTATTGATTAATATGTCCAATTGGGTCAAACTGTAAAGTGGGTATTTGGTTTTATGTATAGCTCAGGCAGTGATCCCCAGTAAAGGTCTAGATTGCACTTCATATTCATGATAGTATTTTCATCTTATAGGTATATGCTTTTGGCAAGATGCTTTGGTTGTGCGGTGATTGAGGATACCTGGCACTATTTCCTACATAGGCTCTTACATCACAAGAAAATATATAAATATATTCATAAAGTTCATCATGAGTTTCAGGTATGTTAGAATTATATTTAATACTTTTTTCTATTAGAGGCAAAATGTTATGGTGTGCGCATGGGGTTAGAAAATCATATACTTGACGAAGTGTTCCCTTGATATTTCTAGTACCTTTCTGGCACCATACATAATTATTATAATATTATTAACTGTATTTCCTAGGCTGTACATATATCCATGACTATTTTGTAACTACCAATCTGTATCCTCAATCTCTTCACCTTTTTCACCCAGTTCCCCAACCTCCAATCCCCTCTGGCAACAGCAGTCTCTGTTTTTATGAGTCTTAAAAATAGTGACTTTTTTTCCTTTTTTTATCAAAACTGCTTTGATTTGTCAAACTGGTTCTATTATGTTCTACATTGGTATGCTAAATCAAATATTCCTTTCTTTTTTTTTTTTTTTTATTATTAATCCTCACCTGGGGATATTTTTCCATTGATTTTTAGAGAGAGTGGAAGAGAGAGGGAGAGACAGAAAGAAACATCGGTGTGAGAGAAACACACTGATTGGTTGCCATCAAAAACATTAAGATATTTTTAAGGACATCCCTACTAGACCTTTTGATGTTTGGTAGGAATTAAATTGTTTTTAATTTGAGAATTGTTGTTATTGTTTACATATGTATGGCTAGATATACTATTTTATATATAGAAACAATATATTTATAAAACAATATTCGTAAATAAATTAGAATATATGTATACAGATTCTCCAGAGAAAAAGAAAAAACAGGAGATACACATACACACTCAGATTGTGGGGGCTGGCAAGTCTGAAATATACAGGGAGACCGCAGGCTGGAAATTGAGGTAGAGTTGATGTTACAGTCTTGTGTCTGAATTCCCCAGGGTAGCAGGCTGGGAACTCAAGCAGGGTTTCTGTATTGCAGTCTTGAGAACTCCTTCCTCTGAAACCTTAAGTCTTTGTTTCTAAGGCCTTCAACTGGTTAGATGAAGGGTAATCTTTACTCAAAGTCTACTGATTTAAATGTTAGCCACATCTATAAAATACCTTCACAGCAACATCCAGATGGATTGCCCAAGCAACGGGGCACTGTAGCCTAGCTGGTGTATAAAATTAACCATCACAAAATATTAAGGAATTGTTCTCTGTTTTAGGCTCCATTTGGAATGGAAGCTGAATATGCACATCCCCTGGAAACCCTAATTCTTGGAACTGGGTTTTTCATTGGAATCATGCTTTTCTGTGATCATGTAATTCTTCTTTGGGCATGGGTGACCGTTCGTTTGCTAGAAACCATTGATGTCCACAGGTGAGCTCTCGTTTCTGTTCTCCCATGAGGTATCATAAAATGTCTTTATTTTCATGGTCATAAGATTATATTTAAGTAGGCTAATAGAAGTTAATCTTGTTAATATTGCTATTTTTTAAGAAAACAAGAGACATAATCATTGGTTAGATTTTTTTATATCCCTGTCTATGGCTGTTGTCATTTTTATAGGGAGAATAAGTTCTTTTGGTTAAACGAAATGAAATTTTGACGTGCACTTCAGAGCTGCCCTTTAAAAGGGTCCCTGTTTACATTCTCAGTGGAAATATGTAAGAGTGCTTTTCCTCCCTCAACACCCTTCCAAGCCTGGGCAGTACAGTCTTTTTCATGTTTGTCAATAAGAGGGCAAAGAGCTTTCAGTGCTGTGTTGGTGTGCATTTCTGCAGGGACACATGAGGCTGTGCATCTGTTTGTGTGCTTATTGACCAACAGTATTTTTTCTTCTTTGAGTTACCTTTTTATGTCCTTTTCCTATTTTTCTATTATATGTCTTAAAAACTACTGGTTTGTGTAAGCTTTGTTAGCTATATATGTTCTAAATAGTTCTTTGCATCTGTCATTTGAATTTTAACTTCTGATGGTTCTTTTCTAGTTTTTAATTTTCCTGTAGTAAAATGAGTCATTTTTATGACTCTTGAGTTTCACACCTTGCTTAGGTCTTCCTGAAACACTGTTCAACTGAAACTATTTGTGTGTTTTTTTTTAAAGATTTGGTTAAATACAATTCAGGATTAGCAATTCCTTTATCCTTCTGTAATGAATCTAAGACTAACTCTTATTTGAAAAAAAACACATTGAATCATTTAGCCTTCACTAAATAAGAATATTTCTAGTCTCACTGCCTAACTCTGATGAAATCACTACTTTTAATATTTACTTATTTCACTTTTTTTCTATCGATTGGAAGATATTTTGTGGTAAGTTATTTATATTTAATGCCTTTTAAAATGCCTAATCTCCTAATTTTTTATTATTTTAAAATTATATATTCATTGCATTTTGACCTGGGACTTATTACCATACCCATGAAAGCAGAACATTAAATTCTAAGAATTATTTTTAAAGCACTACTAGGCAGAGAATATTCTTCTGTAGATAAATTGTGAGTGATGTCTCTTACATTCTTTCTTTCCTTTCATTGTTCTTTTCTCTCTTCTTCCCTCTCAGTCTTCTAAAGAGAGAGAGAGAAAGATTGGGGTGATTTGGACTGGTATAATTCTGTCTGTCAGATTTCAGATATATATTGGGGAAAAAAGAGGATACTCTAAATGATATTCTTTTAAAATCACATGTGTCCCTCCACCTACAGAAAGCACACTCATATTTTCATTAATCCTGGTACATTTAATTCCAACTTGTCATTGACTAGAGTAAAAGAAGTTGTAATAGTGATTCACAGGTCTATCAAGCATTATAGATTTGATACTCGTTTCATATAATTTTCCCCCCCAAAGGCTATGGTAAGAAAGCTCCTCCTCTAAAACAGGAAAGAAAAAGAATTTATGAAAAATCTATTCATTATTATAATGCCTCTCTTTCATCTCCTGATAGTCCTATCTATTAAAGACAGAATATGCAAACTGACTGTCACATCATCACAAAAAGATGGCGGCGCGCCCAGTTCTTTCAGCCCAGTTGGGGGGTAGGCGCACGGTGCAGCCAGACCCACCCTCAGTCCCCCAGCCACCCAGGGCTGCCCGAGGCTCAGGTAACTAGGGCCGGCCGAGGCTTGCGCTGCCGGTAGTGGCAGCAGCAGAGGTGTGATGGGGGCGTTGCCTTCCCCTGATCACTGGGTCGCCTCCCGCCCCTGAGGACTCCCAGACTGTGAGCGGCCGGGCTGAGGACCTCCCCCCTCCACCAAGTGCATGAATTTTCATGCACTGGGCTGTTAGTATAATATATAATTTCCATTGATTTTTTTTTACATTTTAAAAAATTTCTTAGTGTTTTCTGGAATTTGCACTATTTTCTCTTGTTTGTGTCTTTTGTAAACATGTCAGAAATAAAGTGACCTAGGTAAAGTGGAATGTTGTTTGAATTAGTTAACAAACATATGACTATCAATGAAAGTGCCAATTATTGCTTCATAATCTTTATTACTTTTATTGCAGTGGTTATGATATTCCTCTCAACCCTTTAAACCTCATCCCTTTCTATGCTGGCTCTCGGCATCATGACTTTCACCACATGAACTTCATTGGAAACTATGCTTCAACATTCACTTGGTGGGACAGAATTTTTGGAACAGACACTCAATTTGTTGCCTACACTGAAAAGATGAAGAGTGGGAAAAAGACTGAGTAAATATTTATGTAAATCTTCCTAAAGATATAGATTTTCCTGAATTAAAACTAGTAGCTAACTCTGCTTCCGGGGAGCAGAAATAAACGTGTGTCTTGGCCGCTGAGTGATTTTAAAAATGAACAACTTTTATCTTCCTAGTGGGAACTTTTTCTACTTTCCATTCCAGTTCTGTATGTGTAGGAATAAGTAAGGACGTTTTAAAGGCCATGTTGTTAACCTTACAAAAAGGTTTTAAGTATTAGAAGAAGTATTAATCTATGTCTTTTCCCCAGTAACACCATAGGCCTGAAGTGGAAATAGCTCTTTAAATCTTTTAAATATATAATGAGCACTTCAAAAACTACTAATAGTGGATGTTGGCCTTATATTGAACTTGTGACATTTTTTTAGAGTTTGCCTAAAGATCAAAATATCATAGGTTGAATGACATCAATTGATACATTTGAATGAGGCTGCAAAATTAGGACTAGCCAGCACCAGAATTTCCAGTCTTCTCTGGAGCTGACCAGTTTGAGGTGATTTTCTTTCTTTTAGAAGGCCTTTTGGATTCCAGTGTACTACTGGCCTCTGTAAATTAGGGTATTTCTGAATTGATGTATATGGAATATTTTCGTCTAAAGGTTTTCATGCTTCTTGAATTTTTAAAAAAAAAAAAATGAAGCTTTATTCCTGCTCTTTACCCTTTAATTTTTGTAAATCAGGTTTTTATTACACTTAAAGCTATATCTTGAAACTTTGTGAACTGACTTGTATTTGCACTTTGAGCTATTAAAATAAATGTCTGGTTTTTTTGTCTGATTACCTGGTTTCCAGTTTTGAACATCAGTTGTCACTTCTTATATTATTCTTATAAGGAAAAGCACAGAGATGTTAAATTATTGTTTTGCAATAAAAGGAATGATTTTATTTTTTGTAAGTGCTTTATTTGCTAAACTTTTCTTGACAGTTTCAATATGTATTTATCAGGCTGTCCATTGTGGGAAATATCATTTACCTGTTTCAGTAGAGGGTATTGAAGCAGTTTTTTTCTGTACTTAGAAAATGTATGGAAGAATAGAGCTAAAACTTTTTAGGGCTGACTTAATCTCACTTATCTAGATTCTAACTCAAATCGAGAGCTGATTATTCTAACTTACTGAATTGTTATTTTAAAATTTAGTTATTTTTCTGATAAGTTCCTTTCCCTGAAGACTTTGTACACAGTTTTGAGTGAGATTGCAGTGCTGGTTTTCAGTATTTTGCAATACTGTGTCAGACATTTTTAATTGTGTGTTTTACAAACAGAAAGGCACACACAGATGGATGATCACAACCATGTAATTACTACCTGGATTCGGAACATGGGTACCTCCTTTATCAGTTTTGACTAGGAATATAGTTTCCCACTTTTGACCAAGAATAAAGTTAAATTTTTAGCTGGTTTAACAACTGAATCCAGATTATCCTGACTAATTTCTCATGTAGTGACATGAAGCTTTGCCTGTGACGATGCCACTGAAGGCAAGCTTATTAGTCAAATTTATGATTAAGGCAAAGGGAAAGAAGATTTCTTCTACATGACAATTCAACAAATGTTTTGTCTTCACTTAAAGTTCAGCTGCCCAAATAGAGAATGATAGTTACAGGCCTGAATTAATAGCAAAATATGTCTGAAAAACTGAAGAATTTTAGTAGACCAATATCCAAAAGTTTAGACAATCTTAGGCTGAATTATTGGCAAGAGTAAATTGCAGAGATGTTTGTTTTTTTAAAAAATATATTTTATTGATTTCTTACACAGAGGAAGGGAGAGGGATAGAGAATTAGAAACATTGATGAGAGAGAAACATCAATCAGCTGCCTCCTGCACACCCCCTACTGGGGATGTGCCCGCAACCAAGGTACGTGCCCTTGACGAGAATCAAACCTGGGACCTTTCAGTCCGCAGGCCTACGCTCTATCCACTGAGCCAAACCGGTCAGGGCTGCAGAGATGTTAATGGTCTCATTTTACTCTGCTTTGGATGACTGCACCTGGAAAAGCATATTATGTTTTCTATGTCATATTTTGACTAATATTTAAAATAGTAACCAGGAATGGTTTAAAATCTAGCAATGATACAAAAAATAGTTTAAATATAGAGGTCTAGTGGAGAGCAGCTCTATTAAATATAGCTGGGTACTTGTAGGACTTGACTATCTTTGGGGGAAACACATTTCAACCCTTAAGAAGCATTATTAACATATTTTTTAAAAAGTATAATAGACCAGGATGCTAGAATCTTGGTTCTTTATTACAAAACTCACCACAACCCTAGCTGGTTTTGCTCAGTGGATAGAGCGTTGGCCGAGGACCAAAGGGCCCCAGGTTCAATTTTGGTCCAAGGCAATGTACCTTGGTTGCAGGCTCCTCCCTAACTCGATGTTTCTGTCTTTCCCTCTCCCACTCTCCCTAAAAATCAACGGGAAAATATCCTTGGGTGAGAATTAACCAAAAAAACAACATACACACACACACACACACACACACACACACACACAAAAACCTCACCACATTCTCTCAAGACTGCCCGGCCGCCCTGCATGGCTCAGTAATTGAGCGGCGACCTATGAACCAGGAGGTCACCATTCGATTCCAGGAACCCTGTCAGGGCACATGCCCAGGTTGCAAGCTCCAGTGTGGGGTGTGCAGGAGGCAGCCAATCAATGATTCTCATCATTAATGTTTCTATCTCTTTCCCTCTCCCTTCCTCTCTGAAATCAATAAAAGTATATTTTTAAGAAAGACTAATACAGAGAGAGAATATTTTTCACCTGCTGTTAGCTTGAACACTTACCTGGAAGAAGTGGATATTTTCCAGAGTTGTTGAAATTTCAGAATGTTTCTGTGTCCTTCAAGATAGCCTTAAAGGCCATTTAATTTAGTCATCTACCCAGACGTGAATCTCCTTTTTATAATAGACATGAAAAGGGACTTCGAGCTGAGCCCTAGAAAGCAAAGTCACCACGCAGTTGTAGTTAATTGTCAACTTGTGACATTTGTTTTGCTTGAAGCTGTGCGGCCTAAAGAAACAGCATAGGAACTACATAGACTTCATTTGGAGCCAGACTGCTGTTTTCTGTGTGGCCTGCCTGTGTGGCCTTGGACAGGTTGCTTAATTGAGTCTCTGTTTCCTTGTCTGTAAAATGGGAATATTAATGCTTACCTTGTAAGGTTTCAAGGATTAAAAACAGCTATTAAAAACAACAACAACAAAAAAAACAAGCCAATTGCCTAACACATAATAGAAACAGCAGCAACAAAAAGCTGCAAATTAAAGAAGGCAACCAACGTTTTATTTTTCTGAATTAATTCACCAATATTTTATTAAGTGGACTGTCAAAGAAATGGAAAATTTGGAGCCATATTTATCCATTTCTTTAAAAACGTATTTTTCCATGTGCATACCAGTGATAAATACAGCTTTTACAAATATTTTTTTTCTGTAAGATTTGTGTAAAGATAATAAAATAAATTGATTAAGCACCAAATGCACATTTAAACTTAAAATAACTTAGTTCATAGTAACATAACTTAGCAGATTTATTAAGAACAAAGACTTTAAATTTTTTTCAACTTGATTGGAAATTTTACATTGAAATGGTGTTTATCAGCCATTTTATCAGGGGTTTTTGTTTGTTTGCTTTTTAGTTTAGTCCAAATGAAACATTTTATTTTACTGCATCTTCTAACATCTGTTAAATTGATTTTCCTGCTCTGAGAAGTACTCTGCTGGACTGAAAGCATAAAATAACCCGGGTCCAGGTGGCTATTCCTCCAGATAATTTAGTTTACCAAAGTGAATGGTCTTCATAAATTATGTTCATTCTATTCCAGTTTATTTTTACCACTTAGTCCAAGGGTAATCTCTAGCCATCGCTTAGTTTACTGCACTAAGCTTACACATTAAAATTTCTTACACAAGACTGTGAGGATCGACTAATAATTGTTTTGAAAGCATTACTTCAGTGTAGTGAGGGCAAGAAACAGGATGGCAACAGCATTTTGAGACTTCATTGTTAGGAAATATTCCCTTTTGCCCTAGCCAGTTTGTCTCAGTGTATAGAGCGTTAGCCTGCAAACTGCAGGGTTCAATTCCTGGTCAAGGGCACATATATCTGTTGCAGGCTTAATTCTGGCCCTGGTGGGGGAGTGTGCAGGAGGCAACCAATATATGTCTCTCACATGGATGTTTCTCTCTGTCTCTCCCCCTCCCTTCCACTCTCTCAAAAAAAAAAAGGAAAAATATCCTCTGGTGAGGATTAACAAAAAAAGGAAAGGAAAGGAGGAAGGGAGGGAGGGAGGAATCTTCCCTTTTAATATGGCAGCCTTTGAGCTCTATAGCTTTGCTTATAGCCTGAACAGTCCAGACAGACAACTTGGCGACGATTAACATTTAATTCTGGCCACGGGATGATTGAGGAAAGTGGTTCTTTTACAAAACAAAAAGCAAGATAAAAATAAGTCACAACAAGCCCTGGCCGGGTGACTCAGTTAGTTGGAGCATTGGTTCATATATCAAATGGTTGCAGATTTGATTCCTGGTCAGGGCACACATCTAGGTTATGGGTTTGATCCCCTGTCCTGGAGTGTATGGGAGGCAACTGATTGATGTTTCTTTCTCACATCAATGTCTCTCTCTCTCTCTCATAAACATATCCTCAGGTGAGAATTTTAAAAGTCACAAAAATATCTTGACCTTTACTTATATAATGAATATTATTTAAAAGCACAACTCTAGTCTAAGAAGCATATTAAGAAGTCTAAAAGCCTGGGAAAAGATATTTTTCTTATAGATTGAATATGTGCTGGTGAAATAATGTATCTTTACAGTGTTTCTTGCCTTTATAGATATCCTGTTTGAGATTTTACTTGTTCTTGTCTTTTAGATCTCAATTTTTAGGTATAATCTATCATAATACCCCATTTTCTTATCTTCAGTGATTAGCCTGAGAATAGGCACCTGTCCCAAGTCAGCCAGGTTGATCCCAAAATCTTTCTTTGGGATTAAAAAAAATGTTATTGATATTTTAGAGAGAGGAAGAGGAAGAGAGAGAGAGAGACATTGATAGGTTGTCTCCCACAGGCACCTTGGCCAGGGATCGAACCTGAGACCTGGTATGTGCCCTGACCAGGAATCGAACCACCACCTTTCAGTGTACAGGATAACACTCCAACCAACTGAGACACACTGGCCAGGGCTCTTTGGGATTTTATGTATGAACATTGAGAGAGTGCTGAAAGTGTCTACAGAATACCCTGTGAACGTTCCTCTCACTGAATAGGTTGAAGCTAACACAGAGGTTGAGGCAAGAAAGTAACCTAGGTGGATGGCTAGACAGGTGGAGACTCCTACTGCTGGCGGAGTCCTGGGAAGAAATGGGAAAGAGGCCAGCTCTCTTTATGTAAATTAACAAGTCTCCTTCCTCTCTCCCTTTTCTTCCTTCTTATTATACCATTTTGAATTTATTTTAGTTGCAATAAAGCAAGTCTTGACCGGTTCCCTTGCTCAGGCCCTGAAAGTCAGTAGAGCTATATTCCAGGTTTCCTTTGGTTACAATGTGTGTTTCCAGGTGAACCGACAGAAGTAGACAGTGGTGATGGGTTCTTCCTCAAGCTCAAAAGAGTTCGGCTGAATGAATGTTGATTTTGAGCCAGTTGTTTTGAGTTGTGGAGGCTCGATCTAAATGGTGGAGGCTCGACCTAAATGGTGGAGTATCAGGTGTTTATTGAGGAGCATAACTTGATTTCTCTAAGAATTTATGCATTCAGCAAAGAAATATTTGCTTCGTTTCAATGTCTGAACTCTGCTAAGCACTAGGGTACACTAGGGGGCGTGAGAGACATGATTACTGCCCTCAAATTTTCTAGTATATGGGAGACTATGG